CTGATGCAGGCAAGTCTTACCAATATGGGGAGTCAGCAACTGACCTCGGCAATAGTGAAGGCAGGGGCAAAAGCATTGATTCCAGAGGATCTGTTTCCCATTGCCCAACAGTGAGACTATATCTTGCCGTGTCCGTCGATACCTGATCTATGATTCCGAGAAGAAATAACGCATATGTTGCCCCTCAAGTGCTTGTGAATGTTGACCATAGTAAGTCCGACGCTGCTATGCATATTCATGTCCTCAACGAGGCTTTTTTAAAAGCTATGGACGTAATGATGGTAAGAAACACACTTGCCTCACAGCTCACCTCTGCAACCTGTCCTGTAGGAGGAAACATTTGGACCTGTTGTCGGCATTCAGAAGGTATATCCCGTTGTTAACTGCTGTAGGCATACACTCTTGACCCACATTGGTGCAGGTATCGTCTGATGAGGAGGCTGTTCGCCTCATGAACGACTCGCCGTACGGCCTCACAGCATCCATCTGGACCAATGCAGCTGAGAACCCGGACTCTGAGAAGGCGTTCCTCCAAATGGTTGACCAGCTGAACACTGGAACCGTGTTTCTCAACCGGTACGTTCTAACCACAGACCACAGGTTGTTGTTACGATCGCAAACATTCCCCCTAGGTGTGACACCGTCGATCCTGCATTATCTTGGACTGGTGTCAAGAACAGTGGCCGTGGTGTCAGCCTCAGTAAATTCGGTATGTTGAACTGTCCCGCGGAGCGTTCCATTCGATTGTTGACTTGCCTCTTTTCGTAGGTTACGACCAACTCACTCGGCCCAAGTCCGTTCACATGAAGATCAAGACCAAGTGAACATCGTTTGTTCCCATCGAGATACACATAATAGCTGTCATTTATAACAACGACCTCTTACTTGCCACTTTGAGTCCCTCTGCGAAGTATGTCGCCGATGCAGTAATATCCTGTCGTGTGAGATCAGTACTTTTGGAATACGACAAGTAAAAAAGTGAAGATAGGAAGATCAGGACCCTCTAGCGTATAATGAGGGACAGGGTAATGAATCCTCAAAGAAGCACTCGGACTGGTGCACAGCAAAAAAATCATCTTGGAGAGATCAAGAGTGGACTCCATTCAACCTACCTTTGAGAGCACTCCCGACGGAAAAATGGAAAACTTCACCAACACCCACGACGCACGGCTATTTATGTGGGCCGTTGCTGACATAAGCGACAACGATGCACGATCCCGTGATCGCGTAATACTTAAGTAATGCGGATGACCAAACAAGCTCAAACTCAAAACTAACAGAAAATGTGTAAATAAAATGCTGTACGCTACAATACAAGCAAGTTATGCAGAGTACTCCAACTTCGCTATAGAAAACAACTTAAGCCTGGTGATCTCAGCGGATCGGGCTAATAACCTACTTTCGTGCTTTTTGGCATCGCCAACTTTACGGGCAGCCTTCGTGAGATCCTCCTGGATGATGTATTCCCTAGGGACGGGTAAGACTCTGTACCCAAATCACGATGGTAACTTACCGGTCATCACGAATGGCGAACATGCCTGCTTCCGTGATGACATTCCGCAAATCGGCTCCGTTGAACCCATCCGTAAGCTAGAAAACGTTGCATGATGTGTGTTACAGAATTTGTGTATAGGGACGAACCTTGACAATAGCTTCGAAGTCGATCTCACCGCTCTTATTTACTGGCTGAGCGTGGATCTTGAGGATTTCTAAACGGGCTTGCTCATTTGGCAGCGGGATTTCGATCTTGCGATCAAGTCGTCCAGGGCGCAGCAGTGCGGGATCAAGTGTATCGGGCCGATTAGTAGCCATGATAAGTTTCGTCTTTCCCAACGAATCGAAGCCATCCATCTGGTTGAGCAGCTAGGAATAAAGCCTTGAACCATATAATCTGACCAACAAATAAATTTCCCGTTACCTCCATGAGGGTCCTCTGTATTTCTCTGTCGGCACTCGTTCCCTCAGAGAACCTCCTCCCTCCAATAGCATCGATTTCGTCCATAAAAATCACACATGGCTCGTGGTCTCTCGCATACCCGAACATTTCTCTCACCACGCGTGCAGACTCACCAATGTACTTGTCGACAATAGCAGATGAGACAACTTTCAAGAAATTGGTTTGCAAGGTGGCGGCTACCGCACGCGCAAGAAGGGTCTTTCCTGTGCCAGGGGGGCCATACAGGAGAACGCCCTTCGGGGGTTTGATGCCAACGCGAGTAAATAGCTCCGGGTTGAGGAGAGGAAGTTCAATAACCTAAACAGTGGATGTCAGATCTGGCGGCTTTACCGTCGAGCAAACAGCGGCGCACCTCACGGAGTTCGCGCACTTGCTCGGATAGGCCGCCAATGCCCGCAAAAGAAGCCGTTCCGGGGTCTTCCAGACTCATCTTGTATACCAGAGGGTCGACTTCACGTGGTAATATGCGCATGATAGTAAGGGTGGTCATGTCCAGAGAAACACGCGTTCCCGATTTGAGTTTCGCGGCAGAAAGTGCCGGACGATATGAGACTACATATCTGGGTCCTGAAGAGGCTTTAACAATGACTGAAAAGAGTCTCTTAAGTCCCATAAGAAGAAAAAAGGATGGAATGGGTCACACATCGTTCGTCATCGAGCTGCTTCATGACTTCGCCAATAATTTGGCCAACCGACTGGACTGCTTTGATATCGTTTTCTGTCTTGGCAAAGTCCGCTTCGAGATCTTTTAGGGAAAACCGCACTGGATGACAGGCATGTGAGAAATCTGAATTTTGGGAGTACGTGAGACGCTAACAGTTCTTGAGGCTCTGGCTGATGTTGTCGTGAGCACGCATTTTCTGTGATGGAGTCAGTTGACGGGCGACCAGATAACTTGGCTCGGAAGTACTTCACGGTACGTCTTCAGAGCATTCTTTCTGCGTTCGTCCATTATCGATGTCGACGTCGATGCCTGTGCGTCCATTGAGTTGTAGACAACCTTCGACGAGTGGACGCGTCAGTGGTCGTTTATGACTTATGTAATCAAAGTGCGTCACAGAGTTTCTAATTCCGGTAATCAAGGACACGACTTTCCAACCACTCCTACAGTCTTGATATTGACATACAATCGTAGCTGCCACGAAAGTCTAAGGTTATCCAGACCATCGTCCAGGAGTGTGAAGCTCGGTTTTCATTGGTGAATATTCGAATGACAAACTGGCACACATAAATCATCGACTGCAGGTCCGCAATCTGGGGTAGTACCGTACGCGTCTACCTTGCATCTGGCGTCTCTTTCCTCTGGCGGAGATCTCTATGCAACGTTTCTTTCCCAGGACTTTTGCTGTTAGCGAGCTATTGGCCTTACGACCTCAAGCCTTTAGAGCCTGCTGATCGTCACACGTGAGCATTGGAAATGGTCTGGTCAGACTAGGGTCAACTTAAATCTACAACACATCGTCCCACCGCTCGCAAATACAGCCGATCACACTGTACCTCCATTTTTTGGGAGAATACGGACAGCAAGTTCCAGGATCTTGCGGCCCTATGTACCTCCGTGCGCTGGGAGCCTGTCCCTCTATCACGCATCCGGCAATTTGCGACGGGTCAGACTGAAGAGTCAAATTTTCCTTGGACATGACAGACCCGTCACGTGTGCATACTTACCATGGTGCAGATATTCCGGATGAGCATCGATGCTTGGTATTGTGGGAGTGTGATAAGTCAGGAGATCACTGAGGAGCAATGGTCAAATTTTGGATGGTCGTACGCGTGACGCTGGGGGTGTTCGGATCCCACAGCAAGCCTTTCGATATACGATGCCCTGTACCATCATACACCATGTACTTGAAACTTGGAGTAAGACACGAGAAGTATCCTACACAGTGATATCACGTGCAGGACCACCATAATTATGTAATCATATGTGCCCCGATTGGTTGGCCATGCATTCCGCATTCAGGCGACGCACTTGTCCACGCTGAGTCGGTCGTTTGCCTTCTGCACAAGACACATATGTCAGCTTCCACTCTCTTGCACGCACCATTGTCCAGGTCATTTGCTTCGACGGCAGGTTGCCGCGTATTGCGATCTCTCCAAGGTTCGTCGTTGTGCTACACCGCGATTCTCGCACCCTGAGCGGTCTCTGTCAGTGAGACATACTGCTAGTTCGTCGACGCAGTACGTTCCAGGTGGACGTACGTATTATGTTCATGTTTGTTTGATCCTGAACTCCCTAAAATGAACCAAAGCCATCTACAAGGGTACGGTGAATGACCCGACCACCTTTCCCCCACCGTCCAAGATGCACGGATCACACCATTGGTCATTCGAGCGTCTCTTGGCAGCATCCCTCGTTCCAATGACTGCTGCCGCATTCGTCACCTCTGGGTCTAGTTACCCCGTTCTCGATGGAATCTTTGGCGTAAGCTTGGTGATGCACAGCCATATCGGGGTAAGAATTGATTTAAGAGAGATATGGTCATGTCGAGTGAACGGTTGAACCCTTCCAGTTTGACAGTATGCTCGTGGACTATCTTCATCCGCGTAAATTCCCTTTTCTTGGGAATTTCATGACGTGGACACTCCGGACAATGACACTCGGTGTTCTCGTTGGAGTCTACCAGTTCAACACAAACGATATCGGTGTGTAACACTATAACTCGTTTCTTCCTTCAAAAATGTCTAATGCACTTCCATGTCGCAGGTCTGACGGAGCTGATCGCGAAGGTGTGGAAGGCATGATTGGGCGATCCATTCCTCTAAATCCGCAGAGTAAAAAGATTATCGTGTAAAGAGATTGTTTTCCATTTTATTCCGCATATCTCCACCATATGGGAAACCAACTGGTTTTAACCTGGCAGTGCGTTGCTTCGCACAGGTCGTTCAGTCTTACGATGCATTGGTGCTATTCACAGAGTGGCAAGGTAAGTTTCGCGGCGTACTGTTAAGTAGGCAGTAGCTATTCCAACACCATGAATCGTTTCGGTTTCTGCCAAACCATCAACCCGATTCTACGGCCACAGGAGGTTTCCGAAGGCAAGCCCGCTTAGCTCAGTGGTAGAGCGCGTCACTTGTACCTGAATAGGCCGGGAGATGATGAGGTCGGTTGTTCAATCCAGCCAGTGGGCATTCTTTTTGCACACTTTTTAACAAGCAATGTAATTAGAAAAAGTGAGTCCAAAAAACGCGCTCGAACACACAACAGGTAGGCATACAGTGTCACACAAGTAAGAGGATGAGGGAGCATGGCGGTATGAGAAGGTGGACGTAGTCACTAAGTCTCGATAAGCTAACATCTCTCCGGTCCGTTGCTCATAAGGCGACCTCAATGGTCGCGGGACTTCCTATCACGTTTCCTGTGAGCAAGTACTGTACGCCGGAAAATGAGGGTAGAGGCTGCACCTGTATTCGCCTTCTGCAGCGACGCTCAGTTCTTCAATGGCTCCTTGTGCGGATGAGAGTGCCTCGGCGGCGGCGGCAAAGTAGAGTAACTGTATCGAGTTCACAGCGACTTTTGTTAACAAGAGTTAAAGAACACCCACCTGGGCCTTGGCTAGCTCATTCAGATTCTTTATGGGCTCGGGCTGGAAGCGTCTGTTGAGTAGGTGGGTAGTAACAGCCTAAGGAGGAACACTGACGTTCTCAAGCACAGCCTTCATGAGCGTGATTGCAACCTCGGTCTTTTGAACGAGGTCGTCTTCTGCGTTCTCAACATCCAGTCGCGCTTGCTCTTGCTTCGTAGGACCCGCATTCTTCAAACTATCCATGATGGCTGTCAGTCGACCAGACGACCCCTTGAACAAAAAATGTGAGATTCCGTACGTTTGTTTGGCGGCGTCGAGTTCAACTCGGCTGCTTCGGACTGCCTGGCGTGCTTTCATGGCGGCACCAATTGATGTCGACAAAGTTGTCTGCCATGGTTGAAGGTATTCAGTGTAGATAGACTCATCATGCTGAATGCGTGCATCGGCAATCTTTTCCCATGCTCCAGCATATTCAGCGAGTGCGTTGCAGAACTTGTGCTCATTGCCGCCGGGGGCACCCTGCATAGCATTGGCGGCACTGGTTGCAGCGCGGCAGAGAGCGTGCGGGAGTGTCTTGGGCTGAACAGTCGGCGCAGCTACAGGGGATGGGGCGGGGAGATTCGTGCCCTTCAGGTTGGTGGCCGCGAAATTGGTGATACCATGGCCGATAGTAGTGGAGAGTTCAGTAATCGATTCCTGAATCTGCACGGGGTAGTCGTAGTTCTCATTCTCATACGCTTTGGTGATCCTGGCCAAGCGGGGTTCCGTCAGATAACGGCACAAATGAGGGGTGGGCTGCAACCTTACTTGTACAAGGAAATGTGAGCTTGACGCAATGCGTCGACACGGGCCTCCAGGTCCTTGTACTCTGCATAAAGGTATCATTGAAGAATGTGTGCAGTTGGGAATAGGTGTTTACCTTGGGGCAATTCTGTGATGTCTTCCGGCGCGACTTGGCCAAAACGTTCCCTGGTCAACTGAACGCCAGAGTTGAAGCCCTTCGTCAGCTTGCTTCCTGCCTGCGCGAAATTGATGTTCGAGAAACTCGATTGCAACTTGCTCCAGTCCATGGTTGTCTTCTGGTTTCTGGGCTAAGTCTGAGGGCTCGGTGGTCGTTGGGTCAACGAATGGCTGTGAGTCCGGTGTCAGGGGGGTGAGTTCGATCCGATATGGGAAGGCGGTGTCAGTTGTCCTTGCCGTGAATGGGCGACGCGTAGGCTCCAATTTAGTTTCTGCACGCTGACCGCCATGTACAGGGGACCAGGCTTTGATTTCTCCAATTCACTACGGTGAGCATGACGGCGTCGTATGACTGCTGCTGTGATACGTGACCGACGCATAATCCACAGGAATGACTTTCTCCAGCGGAAAGGTGTCGGTTTGCCCAAGGCCACCAGCACCGGTACAACGATCGTAGGTTGCATCTTCAAGGACGGTATCGTCCTCGGTGCAGACACGCGTGCAACCGAAGGGGAAATCGTAGCCGATAAGAATTGCGAGAAAGTACGTGTCGCTCGCATGTATATGTCCCTCCTAGTCAACCTCCACACGCGACACAGATACATTACATCTCAGAATCTATTCGATGCTGCGGTGCGGGGACGGCTGCAGATACGGAATTTGTTACCGCAGCCATATCCTCAAATATTGAGCTGCATGCTTTATCTACGGGAAGGAAACCTCGCGTGGTTGCAGCCATGACCATGCTCAAGCAATATCTCTTCCAGTACGAGGTTCCTGCCTCGTTGTGTATAGTAATACTTATCCATCGCAGATACCAGGGCAACGTGGGCGCTGCACTTGTGCTGGGGGGCGTAGACTCGACCGGTGCTCACCTCTTCACGGTTCACCCACACGGTTCTACCGACAAACTCCCGTACGTCACCATGGGGTCGGGTAGTTTGGCGGCCATGGCCGTGTTCGAAAGTGGATGGAAACCAAACATGGAGGTAGGCAGACGATCTTTCCCCCTGGTTCCCGAATGATATTGGAATGATGACGTTCGTCATGCCGATTAGCGGGAGGAAGCCCTCAAGCTAGTTTGTGATGCTGTCGCTGCAGGCATCTTCAATGATCTTGGTTCGGGATCCAACATCGACGCTTGCGTCATTACGGCTACCCACACCGAAACGCTGCGGAACTTTGTCAAACCTAACGAGCGGGTTGCGAAAGAAAGGAAGTACGGATTTAGGCAGGGGACGACGGCCACCAAGAGCGAACATATACGCAGCTTGGTTGTCAGTGAGGAGGTTACGCCGATCAGAGGTGAGGCCATGGATGTCAGCTAGATGTCTTGTAGGAAACGCTGTAATGTTACTTTCATTTCAACCGCATCATTTGATCGCTGTCTCGTTTGATTATCATGTATTCATTCTCTGCGCTATCTGAAGCTAGAAGGCTGATGGAATCAAGAAGAGGTCTCCTCGAACATACGTGATAACTATGCAAGGGAATGTTGTACAATGTATATGCTACTGCTGCTCCAGACCAATGAGAAACACCACTCAGGACAAATGAGAGCGACTTGATAGTCACAGCGAACTCCGGACTGAATCCTGCGCTGGAGAGATGACCGCTACGAGGACAGAGATGTCTGACAAGTTGATGTCAGTACGGTCATCGAGGCTCATTTGTGATTCATCTTACCATCTATTTTTCCACCCTTGAATGACTTGCCTTGCTCCCTTGCCCGCCGGGCGAAGGGAACTTCATCTTCTACGTCCCCGCCATCATCATCAGCGACGCTCTTTCCCCTCCTCTCCGAGACATGACGCGCCCTCGAGCACAACGCTTCGCTCAACATACCAGCCAGAGTTCTGCGGCCGAGCAGTCCACCCACGCTGCGCTCGCTGTCCTTCAAAAACGAACGCTTAAATCGAACGACTTCGTCGAGGACTTCCGAGTCCCACAGGTTGTCGCTGAGCCCGTCGCTGGCGAGGATGAGGATGTCATCTGCCTGCACCGGCAGCTCCACGATCTGGGCGTCACGTGGACGGGCGGAAGAACGAGGCCCAAGTTGCACAGGGGTATTAAATTTCCACCACATCTCCTCACTACGCCACGCAATCTGCTCGTCGCGCACGAGCATACCCATACAATCACCCAAATGGGCAATCTTGAGAACTGCATCAAAGGCAGTGGTAGATGCTGGGGAAGAGAAGAGCATCGGTTTAGGTGGAGAGACGTTTTGTGGAGAGGTCCGCTGTGAATGCTGCAAAACGGCAACGAGTGCTGTAGACGAGCCCGTCATCAGTGGTACTGTCTTGGGAATGGAGGGTATGGGGATCTCTGGCGGTTGTAGCGCTGGAGGTTTCTCATGCGCAGTAGACTCTGCGATGGCGATGACGTCGTCGTCCTCGGGTATCGTTGCGAGTGAAGGTGTACCAGCCTCGGCTAGTGGCGGAGAGGAAGAGGTCTCCGCAGGCTCCGTTACAACATGAGCCTTGAGCGTCTTCTCGTACGCATGCTCGAGAATCATCAATACGTCCAGTCCGTCCTCAAGGTCTTCCAAAGAATCTTCTAGTTCTTCATTGAGTTGATCTGGATCAGCGCTCCACGGCCACGAGTCAGTGAGGGCTGTGCAATTCGTATGCCTGGGTGATACACTACGAGACGGAGAGGCGGTTCTACGATGGGAGGTAGCTGTCTTCTCTGCATGGAGTGTTTCCGCCGAACAATGATGCATGAGCCGTCTTGCAAATAATGCACTAGGAGTGGGATCTTGTGGTGTATGGTTGGATGCTGTCGGATCTGGACAAAAAGGACCGTCATAAGACCCGCACGGACATTGCTTGAAATGAAAAACACACCTTTCGGTCGTGACCAACCGCCGACGCCATCGGCGACGCCCATGGCATTTTCGCGGACAAAGTAAGCATCCTCGCCGACTTGGACAGCAAGGCTGAGGTCCTCTGCCTGTGGGCCACGGCCCTGGAAAGGGGAGTGGTTGCTGTGGTCGTCTTTGCGGGGTGTGACGTGCTTGTTGGTTCGCTTTGGGATGCCGTATGCACCCACGTCGAGGTGGTAGCGCACGCGGGGGCGTTTTACGTGCTTGCGAGAATCAGAATGATCTGAGACATGGACGTTGTAGAACGGGACAGGCGCAAACGAGGAGTAAGGGAAGAGGCCGGCTGTTTGGTACGCCACTGAGACGTGGGGCGGTGACGCATTTGCTTGGGGAGAAGTGAGGGCAAGCGAGAAGGGCGGCTGGCTGGATGTCTGGCCGTGGCTGTTGGGAGAGCTTTGTGTGTGCTGGCTGGACGAGCCTTCGCCCTCGGCTTTGATAGGGAGACGGGATGTGGAGAGGGCGTGGGGGTTGCCCGGTCTGGAGCTGGGAGGCGGCGGGGGAGGGGAATCGAAGAAGGCGAGTGGCCCCGAAGATGCGTTGGGGGTGTAGAGCGAGCGCGCAGACGGTGCAGAGTTCGACCGCACTCTGGACAGCGACGACGGCGACGACGGCGAGGCGCGAGGCAGAGCCGTACAGAAGCGCTTCTGGAATGTCTTCATCGTCGGACCCGGCGCACTCATTTTCTTCTTCACATTCGATTGAGCTGAGACACGCCTGTTGGCAGTCGCCGACGACGAGCAGAAATGTTGTGTCGCTAA